CATTCCATGAAAAACTTTCAAGTGTTTAGAAATGACAGATGGAAAGTATGCATAGCAATGTGGATGGATCTTACAGCACAGTGATGAGATAAGAAGCAGTATGAGCTCTCTAACACTATAGCACCTACATCAATTAAAAATCCAGGAGTGCAAAACCATACAGATTTTACAAGAACAGGTTACGAATATATTTTATTTACAAATAAAAGATTTAACATCATCCAGGTGAAAATCGTTGCTTTGATTGAAATGACAGGTGACTATTGGAGGTGAATGGAAACAGGAAAAAGAATATGCATGGCTGTAGCCAGTTTGGCTCAGTAGATAGAGCATCGGCCTGTGGACTGAAGGGTCCCAGGTTCGATTCCAGTCAAGGGCACATGCCCGGGTTGCAGGCTCAATCTCCAGTAGGGGTGTGTAGGAGGCAGCCAATCGATGATTCTCTCTCATCATTGTTGTTTCTATCTCTCTCTCCCTCTCCCTTCCTCTCTGAAATCAATAAAAATGTAAATAAATAAAACAAACAACCCCCTTCCCCCTCAAATTAGTGAAAAAAATAATATGCATGGAAGGTACACAGAAAAGTGAATGAATGAATGAATGAATGAATAAATGATGAATAAACAAAAGAATGAATGAATAAATAAGAGAGGGACCTTTTATGGACCAATGGTGATAAAGTGCTATGGATAAAGAGGACAATAAAAACCCAAATGAAAAGAGAAAAATAAGGCCTGATATAGATGATAGCACATAATGAGCACTTAGTAAATATTTGTTGAGTGAAGGAAGAAATGAAATCTGTGGTGAATCCTTTTTGCAAGATAAGAGTTCTTTTTGAAATATGGATCAGTGCTCTTCACTGAATTATTTTAGGAGTTTTCATTTTGGTATATCAATTTTTTGAAAATGTGAGCACATCTGGATGGCATTATCAGATTTTCTTTTATTTCTCTGCTTCTTGAGATATTGCATAAACATGGACAGCTTGTCCTTTTTTTGAACTATGCCATGTAGTTCGACTTCTTTAAAAAATTATATGTTTATCTGGTTGTCTCAGCGTAGATTTGGTGATGATGGTGATGATGAACAATTATCCATCCGAGTTCCTCCAGAGATAATAAGACTGCTAAAAAAAAAAACACAGACAGAATATTTGAGATATTTTTTAAAAGACCAAGAAGAAATTTGAAAAGCCAGCACTAACATACTCATCACATTGTCTTAATTATGTTTTTGTTAGTTATTTCAGAGACTTTTTATTGCCTACTCAATGTGTATCCTCTTTTTAATAAAAAGATTCTCAAGTTTTCTTGGAAAAAAAATAAAAAATAAAATAAATAAATAAATAAAAAATTATATGTTTATATTGATTTTAAAGCAGCGGTTCTCAACCTGTGGGTCGCGACCCCTTTGGCGGTCGAACGACCCTTTCACAAGGGTCGCCTAAGACCATCCTGCATATCAGATATTTACATTACGATTCATAACAGTAGCAACATTACAGTTATGAAGTAGCAACGAAAATAATTTTATGGTTGGGTCACAACATGAGGAACTGTATTTAAAGGGCCAGAAGGTTGAGAACCACTATTTTAGAGACAAAGAAAAGGAGGGGGAGGGAGAGAAACATTGATTGGTTGCCTCCAGCATGTACCCCTGTTCAACCCGAGCATGTGCCCTGACCGGGAATTGAACTGGCGACCTTTTGGTGCATGGGACCATGCTCCACTAACTGAGCCACACCGGCCAGGGCTGTAGTTTGACCTTTGATCTGAGTCACAGGAAATGTCTTTTCAGCAAATATTTGCCATTTTGATCAAGTCTTAGTTCCCAAGTATCTGCCCATGTGTGGTCATTGATGTCTAAGGTCTTTGTTGGGAGCTCTGAGCTGGAATGTGCTTCCTGAGTTTCGTGATTGTCTAAGTGGTAGGGTTTATTGCTGGCCATGATGGTGGACTTGCCAATTGAGATTTTTTTCCCTGACACTGTACAAGATTTGACTTGTCAGAGCACTTCTGGGTTTGTCTTCTTCCTCCCCTCTTTCCAGAGGACAAGGATTTATCCCAGGGGATATAAACATCTATAGATCAGCTCCAGGTTTTAAGAGCAGTGATCCTATGTTACTACTAATAAACATGGCTAACATTTGGCTTTCACTGATCTCAATTTAATGAATATCTATTAGTATTTAAAGCTCTGTCTCTAGTTATATGAGCTGGGTTCTAACACCTAGCCTGCATCTAACAGCCCTGTGGCACTGAGTAAATCAAATTTCCTAAAAATTTGCTTGTTTCTCTGAACAATATGGATAGAAGTTTCCTCAGAGCTGTGGTGACTAGATAATGTACAGTGGGGCCTTGACTTACGAGTTTAATTCGTTCTGAGACCAAGCTTGTTAAGGAGCTCGTTAACTCAAATTACTCTGTCAACTCAAGGCAAAAAATCGGCCAAGAGACAGCTGGTATCTCAAAAAACTCGTTAGTCAGGACACTCGTAAGTCAAGGCCCCACTGTAGTTAAGGCTTAACATGGAGTTTGGGGTATAATAAATAGTTATTATTATGACTTCATGGAAATCATTATGCTAGCTAGGCTTGTGAAGAGAATCAAAGATGAATTTTGAAAAGTTCTTAATGTTGTGAACTTGGAGAGAATAAGACAAATGCCCAAAATACAGATCAATGTGAGGGGACCCGTGAGGTCGCATTCCCCCTAAGAACCGAATGAAACATCCTGAGAGCAGCTTCTTCAGCTCATAAGCAAGGAGACTGAGGCTCGGAAGGGTTACCTGACATGGTCAAGGGGGCACAGCCAGTGAGTGGCAGAGCCTCGATGGGAACCAGCATCTCCTATGACTGAGCCAGGCCTGATGGATGTGTGTTTCCAGTGGACACTTCTCCGTGTGGCTCAAGGCCTTGTGACACTGCTTCCTGCCAGGCCACTGACCGAATGGGGCCTTCCCTGTCCTGAAGTCCAGAAGCTTTGGGGTGAGGGCTCAAAACCCAGCCAAGAGGTAGACTTCTCAGTTTTCAGTGAGTCCTTCATGTGGACAACATTTCTCAAGACTTGCCCTCAAACCAACCCATTAGCAGACAGTAATTTATTAAATCCATTACTTCCTCAACTGAGCTTTTATTGAGGGACAGGTATGCTCCAGGTCGCATGTGAGGTAGCAGGAGACAGGGAACCCTCCTTGAGGAACCTACAGTCATGTAACAATTTGCTGTCATACAAGGAACAAAGCACTCCAAGAGTTGAGAAAAGGGAGCCTGATATTTTCTCGGCTAGGAGGTTTGGTGGGTCAGAACATTTTTCATCAAAAAAGGTACTACTTGAGCTAGATATTGAAAAAGAAGGAACTGGGGAAGAGGAACCGGGCAAGAGAGGATTGTAAGATCGAACGCAGGAAATTGCATGAATGTGCAGAGTGGAGCTTAGAAGTCACTGGGGACCAGTGGAGGGGGTGGTGGTGGGAGGGGTGGTGGTGAGTGATGGAGCTGGAAAGACAGAAAGGGCTAGATTGTGAAAGGCCTTCTGTGCCTCCAGCTCTGGACTGAAGGGATTAGGGGAAAACTTTTTTAAAATATATATATATTTCTTTATTGATTTCAGAGAGGAAGGGAGGAGAGAGAGATAGAAACATCAATGATGAGAGAGAATCATTGATCAGCTGCTTCCTGCACGCCTCCCACTGGGGATCGAGCCCGCAACCCAGGCATGTGCCCTTGGCCGGAATCGAACCTGGGACTCGTCAGTCCACAGGCTGACGCTCTATCCACTGAGCCAAGCCGGCTAGGGCTAGGGGAAAACTTTTAAAACTGGGGAATGGCATGATCCAATCTAGGTTGTGTAAGATGGTGCTGAGGCAGCCGTGGGACACAGCAGCAAGGTCTGCCCTAGGTGGTCTTGATCCCAAGCTGTGGGTCACTGGGGCCCAAGCATGTGGACTTCACATACACATGGCGGAAGGCTTCCAAACTGGGAAGGAGCCCATAGCCTAATACCCTAAACCAGGGGTGGGCAAACTTTTTGACTCGAGGGCCACAATGGGTTCTTAAACTGGACCGGAGGGCCAGAACAAAAGCATGGATGGAGTGTTTGTGTGAACTAATATAAATTCAAAGTAAACATCATTACATAAAAGGGTACGGTGCCCTAAACACTCCCTGATGATGGACCCCATTACCTTCCTCCGAGGGCTTCATGCTGACAGGTGGGGGGCCCTGGGAGAGAGGCCTGTTCACACTGCGCCTGCAGATTCCCACTGTGGAGCCAGCCCAGCTGGAGAGCAGAGCGTCCTCTCCTCTCTCCCCTGAGTGAGTTGCCTCCTCTGTGGGCCCGTGGACCATTAGAACAGTGTCCCCCCACTTAACCATGAGTAAAACTTGCCATTTGGTGGTGGCTGGGGGGCAAGGAGAGGGGCTGCTGTGTTTCAAAATGGCATCAACAGAAAAGCAATATTAAAAGAATGAGGAGGTTGTTTAGTGAGGCTTGAAGAGGCTACAGGTGTTTCCTCCAGCAAGTGAGAATCAGTGACCCCATGGGGATAGCATTTCCCGTGAGCAGGGCCCATGGCAGACTGAGTCCCCGCTCACATCCTGGTGGGGTAGAAGCCTGGAGGGGGGACCACAGCAAACCCAGAGTTTTCCATGGGGACCTTTGGGGCTCCTCGTTTGTGTGGGGACACACATCGCACACAGGTCACCCTCATTCACCCTTTCCCACTCACCACACGTCACAGCACACTCTGGCCACGTCGGAAGGGCCATACCCTAGTGCTCCCGCGGGTTGTTCAGGTCCAGCTGGCGGGCTCTGGCCAGCGGTCTGCAGCTGGCGGGCTCCGAGGGTGCGGGTGGGTGACAGGTGGGTGACAGGCAGCCTCCTGAGGACGCGGCGGGGCCTGGGCGGGGGGAGGATGTGATGACGCTGTGCCTGTGCCGCTGCGCAGCGGGAACCCGGCCTTTAAAAAGCTGAGGAAGCGGCCCTGAGCAGGCAGTGGCTACACTGGAGGAAAGCACACCCAGGTCTCACATTAAAGAAGCCAAACTGTCTGCTTCAAAGAAAAAAGGCAACATCCTGTCACAGGCCATGCTCTGGCAAAAATGTAAGTGCTGTGCCTGTGGCTGTCGGAGCACCATCAGCGTGGGTAGGGGCGGGGGGGCTCACCAGCTAGCCTGAAACTGGGAGGTGGTGGTAGTGGAATGGGGGGGAGCAGGGTCTGGGGTCCCAGTCAGGAGCGCAGGGAGGAAGGAGGTGGGTGAGACAGAGCCCATGGAGAAAGCACCCTGTCAGGGTGATCAGGGTGATGCTGATTTTCCAGGTTGGAGGGGAACGAACTACTGTTCCCAGGTGGGAAGGCTGTGGTCCCTCGGCTGCTGGGCATGAATCACTGCGGGGAAGAAAGGGCGGTTTATGATTCACAAAAACAAAAGTCAAATGTGATATTGGTTTGGGGCAGGGAGGGGAAAGCCAGGGAGGTCTTTGCATGACTTTATTTTATAAACAGCTGCTCTGTAGCCCACGGTTCAGTTCCGTGGGCCCGCTGCTCTCTGACTCGCTTAGCCTCTGCCAGGCAGGTGTGGTTTGTGTCTGTGGACGCCGGGGGGACAGGGGAGGTGGGCTTTGTCACCCGTGGCTTTATCACTGCACTGTCCTGCCTCTTGTCATTCTTCCCATTCTGTGGCAAGGCGGGTGCAAAAGGACAGCAGGTTTATCTGTTACCTTTATGTTTATCCCTGGAGTCGGATGGAACAATTGTGAACTTTATTTTCCATTATGTGGGACTGAACAGAGACTCGTGTTATTAATAATTGAAATCATACAGAGATTATCTACAACATTTCTTTCTTGAAATAAGAAAGTCAACTCAGTGGCCGTATTCGAGTAGAACCTTATTGGGGCTCGGATCTGGACTTCCTCAAGAAAGAAATATTACTAAAAAATGGCTCTATCGATCATTTTAAAATGCCTTTTCATGAATTCAGGCATGCTCTACCTCAAACAAACTTAATATAAGAAAATCTAGATTTACAGAAAAAGATAAATTAGGGAGTGTATTTATTTTACCAAAGATATTCTATTGGAGCCCTTAAAGGTCTGAAAATATACCTTCATTGATTAAAACATAACTTACAATCCCTTTATCACCAATTCATTGTTCCTGTATTCCGTGTAAACTCCCTGGAATTGAGCTGGTTAATGGGTAATATGGAGGAGTGACTTCAAAATCTCTCAGATCATGAAGTCTCATCATTGTTGGATATTGGCAAGATGCATTTTTTTTAAATAAAAAGAAATGAATTCTAATTTGGGTTTGAGAGTCATGGAATCCTTCCAAGAGAGTTGGGGATATTCTAGTATGGGTGGTGTGTAACTGCTACCAGAGGAGGATTGGCCAGCCCCCTGGGCATGCCTATGGCCAAGGGTGGGTGGGCATCACTGCCTCTACTGGGAGCTGCTGTGGGTCCCTACACCCTGACACTCAGAGCTGAGTCAGTGGGTTCTAGGTGAGCCCCCTGGAGGGACTTCTGCTTTGATTCATATCTACTCAGAGCAAGGCACTCTCCTTTTATTTGTAATTTTTAGGGTTATCCATGTAAAATGGGGTATAGGTAATAGCCATTCTGCAAAGGCCCCCTGAGTAAGCTGAGATGTTGTGGAAATGATGTTGATTGCCCTGGTTTTGCTTCAGTGTCTGAGACAGGGCTGCTTCTTGCATTCATATTCTCCCCTCTTGGTTACACACTACATTTCTCCTTCTTTAATTCCTCCTAAGAGACTAGAAGTTTTATAAAATGGGACGCTAGAGGCATGTTGTCTGCTCATACCCTGGAGGTCAAATTAGGGGCCACAAAACCCCATCCTTAGGGAGACCGCGCTGTAAGCTCATCAGTGGAATAACTGGGAAAACTTTCTCCATGACAGAGGCACATAGTGAAGATTCTCTCTCATTGTCCTTTGGCACCTTAAAGGGACTTAGGGAAGGCCCCAGGCACCGGAGCCATGATCTTACCCTGGATCCAAGTAAGGCCCTTGTCTAGGGCACTGAGGGCACCTACGTGACTAAGCCCTGTGGGAAAACCAGTACAAATAGGGCAGCATGTGTCAGCCCACTTCGAATCACCTGGTGGAAGGGCAGGGTTTGAAATCAGACACCAAGAGTGCTGAAAAGGCACTTTCTTTTTTCAGAAAACATCCTGGAGGCATGAGCTGAAATGACTGTGCTATGAGGTTCTGGAAAGGGTTAAGAAAACATTCACTTTGTAATTGCTGCCTCCTCCCTACCTGGCCCATGACCCTCGTTTGTGGACTAAATGTGAACATGGGCTTTAGTTCAGATCAGATCAGAACTGCTGGCACATAGACATGGAAATCTTCAAGCCCCATTCATGGACTTGAGCTTTGCTTGACTGATCAATTGGATAAAGTAGTCACTCAACCTGCAAATTCTCCCCCTGGCTTCTGCACTTGGTCCTGCAGGTTCCATGAGGAGGTAAAACACTAACATCCACCCCAACAAGAAGCCCTTGTTCAGGCCATTTACTAACAGTCAGTGAGCGGAAACGGCAGGAGCGATGGAGTGAGATGAGTCTGGGGTTGAAAATTGGCTCTTCAACCGAATTATCTCACCTTATATTCTTAAAAGCCTAGCAAATGGGGGCTCTAATCACCACCTTACAAGGTTTTTGTCAGAGCTAAATGAATGTCGTCAAGTCTCCTGATAAGTAATGATAGTGATGAGCGAGCCCTTTCCTCCTGCGACACCTCCGCAGACCCATCTCGAGTGATCAGGGTTGCTGCAGATTCCTTCATGTCTGTCCTTCCCCACAGTTTGATTAGAATGGTTAAAAGGGCACAAAATATTCTTGAGTGATAGGATCTTACAATTAGTTTTCCTAGGCTCTGTCTAACTCAGGGGTCTGGACGCAATGGCCGGTGTGCCAAATCTGTTCCAACACATCTGTTTTTGTAAACACAATTTTACGGGAGCACATCTGTGTCTATTCATCTACATGTTGTATGGGCTGCTTTTGTTACAACAGGAGAGTTGAGTAGTTGCCACAGGGATTACCTGGCCTGCAAAGCCTAAAAATTTACTACCTGGACCTCTACAGATAAAGTTTGCTGACCTCAGGTCTAAACTAATTTGGGTAGTTCTTTTGGTATTCACTTCCTTAGGTCACTCAATATCCTGGGCTTGCACAAAGCCAACACCAATGGAGACAAAGCTTGCAGTCAATTGATTAAATGATTTGCGCAATGCCTGAATTAGATCTGGTTGACTTCCTCTTTAAAAGCAATGAGATTGTGTATAATGAACTCAATACCACCTATAGAAAATGAACGAATTGAACAACTTTTTTGTTTGTTTTTGTTTTTTTACTCTTGCTACTTGTGTAGGGTAAGACCAATGTGATGACGAAAGGCAGGCCTGAGTGATGGTTTTTGAATTGGCTGGCTGTCTTGATGTCCCATAGACTTAGCTTTGACATTTCTTTGCTGTGGTGCTCAAGGAGGCACCTTAGGAATGGGGAATAGTTACATCAAATTTTATGGTATGGATGTGCCTTTGCACAACTTGAACAGGGCAAAGTTTCAGCGGACAGATAAATTAAGGTCTCAAAATTCTCATTAACATAGACCTCCGGATTTACTCCAGGTTTCCTCTAATGGCCAACTCTTTTGAGGCAGTTAAAAATGCAGTCATGCCCTGGCCGGTTTGGCTAGTGTATAGAGCGTCGGCCTGCGGACTGAAGGGTCCCAGGTTCGATTCAGGTCAAGGGCTTGTACCTTGGTTTCAGGCACATCCCCTGTGGGGGGTGTGCAGGAGGCAGTTGATCAATGTTTCTCTCTCATTGATGTTTCTAACTCTCTATCCCTCTCCCTTCCTCTCTGTAAAAAATCAATAAAATATATTTTTAAAAAATGTATATGAAAATGCAGTCAAAGATAAGAAAAATCTATAACATACTTACACTTTTTGGAACTCTTTCTCCTGTGTAAGTTCAGGCAAACTTACAACAAGAAGTAATTTAGGTCTGTGGAGTGCCTCTTAGTATTTCTATTCTGTTATCACCTTTGCTTACTTAATAAGCCTAATAAGCACCTTTATTTATTATCAAGTTTATTGATTGATTCAGTGTTTTCTTGATAAGGGCAAGTAGAGTCTAAAAGACACACAAGGATTCAATAAGTGACACACATGTACTAAGCACACAGATTAATTGGTAAAAGAGCAGATGATTTTCAAGGTGGGAACTTTACTTTCTTTTCTCTATATTTACAAAAAAAATGCCAACTTTGTCTCCCTCTATACCCAGAAAGTCCCTGAGTCAGAGATTTTGAAAGCTTTCTTCCAGTTCAAAGCTGCAAATCTGTTCTGTTGTGAGGATCAAAAAAGAACCAAGGTCATCTACAATTCTTAGCTAAATATCTGGATATTTAATTCAATTCATTAGAAGTCCTGTATATTTTTGCTTTTAAACTTCTCAAAGTAAAGGTTTAGGTTTTATTTTTTTCCTCTGACTTATTTCTAAAGTTTATTTTCCCACGCAATAAAGATATCCATCAATTTCTCATTTTGAGCCAACCAAACCAAAGTTGGCCAATTGATTCTGATCATTAACATGATTTTCGCCTTTCTGATATATTTAGCAACATTCCAGTTTTTGCATTTTTATAGAACAACTGCTTGGTAAGAGTGGGCCTGCCTGGGATGGAGAGGCCTTCTCTGAACCCTGTGGTCCTGGTTGTATGAAGCTGTGGATGAAGCTTCAGGCAGAACACGTGATCCTACTTTCGAGTCCATGGGTAGTAAGTGTGGGGCTTAGGCAAGCCACCTCGTTGCTCTCGGTCTCCCGTGTTCCTGCTGTAAAATAGCCTCGCATTTCCCTGCTCGGGGCAAAGAGGTTGACCTTAACTGAACTCCTTTTACAGCTCTAATTGCTGAGCTTTCAAGGGTGCTTATAAGAAATCAATATATGCTTTCAAACACAAGTCCCTAGTTTAACAAAAGGGGTTCTTGCATCTGCTTGGAGCAGTGCTTTTCAACCTTGGCTACACATCGGAATGCTCCGGGAGATTTAAGAAATACTGATGCCTGGG